CCAGCTAATAACATTTTACTTATTAAATAAATCATTCACCAGAAAAAGAAGACTACAAAACAAGACAAAATCCCAGTTGAACGAGGCAAACCAGCTAATAACATTTTACTTATTAAATATTGTTAGCAATCAAGAAACAAAGACAATTCTAATCTGTCTTCCAGGCATACAAAAATAATGAAAAACCAAGACCTGGTAAATTAGAATCCCGGAAACACTCCGAGCCACTCCGAGAGAATATGGCGGGATCAGACGCTGTTTGCCTTGTCCAAAGGTTCTCGGCAGACAAACAAGTTTGAAACATGAATACTGCATTCCGTAGACTCGGACAGAATAACCAATTATGCACGTCCCAAAAGATTTCCACAGGGAGCCCGTCGACCAAAATAGTATAGTTTCCACGAAATTTCCACTGTAAGTGCTTCACCTGCATCACTTGTTTCGTATCAATACGAACTACAAGGCACGGATCACCGCCTTCATTTGTATCACACTCGATTTTAAGATCATGAGTCGGTCCATTATCACAGAATTGCGCCTTAGTACCATAAACCCTCTTCCCAAAAATATGTTCCCTTTTGGAAAGGAATGTAGACCTGGAAATTGAAGAGGCTGCACCAGTTTTCTTGAATGCTTCTTTCCTCAGATCCCCAATTAACACAATCATTTCCCCCTTACAAACCACTGCTACAAAATACGCCTCCAATGGCTCCGGCCCAGATCCAAATTTTGCCGAAGAAAGATCCCAAATTACTTCAATTTTAGTTGAATTAACTTCAAAACACTTAGATCCTTTCCATTTTGAGAACAAAGACGGTTTTACATCAATTTTACTGATCAAGTGATGCGATAAATCATCTAATTCAACACTAAGGCATTGACCCATCAAATTCTTGCTCCAAACAAAGTTCATTAAACAAGACTTACCAAGCAATTTACACCTATATGTGCAAGTAACCAAATTTTGAGTTGCTTTACTAACACCTACACCTGAACAAGAAGCATCAGCAACTTGAACTCCATTTTCACCAAAACAAGATGGGAAGTCCCTCATTTTTCAATATAATCCAGAAAATCCAAGATCTTGTAAAAAATCAGATCTTTATGTACCCTTTCGAACGATTAACGAATCGAGCCTCGACAAACGGAAAAAGACACAGGTGAAAACATGCCACATATGAATTATCAGAGGTGAAATCAAAAACTCATGTCCACAAATGTTAAATTATCACTTTAAATGGCGGAACTTATGAAGTTTTAGAAGGTAATGAAGAAGTGGGCATTGATTTTAAAGTACCAGTAATCCAAAAAATTTAAGGAAATAGGAGAAATGAAATTCTAGATTGGGGACAAATATATTTTTAAGTTTTGTGGGGGATATAGAAAAGCAGAGGACTGGAATCATTTTTTATCAGGCTATCTTTGTCTTTTTTACTAACTGGAAACCATATCCAGAGTTTGAAACAACTTTTTCTTGTAAATATAATAATACTCACATCACATGCTATTGCTAACTGCGCGTGTTATGGAAAATTAAAGGTGAAGAAAGGAAAATGAATGTATTTTAAAATTCAAAATATTTAACCAATCGATCTGTACAATATGAACAAGAGCATGTTTGGCTAAGCTTAACAAAAATAAAGTATTTTGCACGATATGTTGTTCTTTATTAGGTTTTGAAGTAAAAAGAAAAAGATTGTTTATTTCAAAAATAAGTTTAGAGCCTATTTGATCCCTATTTTTATTTAATTTTTTTTTTTTGTATAAAATGCGTTCTAGAATGGTATTTTGATGGAAAATGTGTAGTTAAAAAATAAAAAAGTTTTAAGTTTACGTGTAATATTAATTTATTAAAAAATGTGTGATTAAAAATAAAATCTAAAAAATATATTTTTAAAATAATGGGAAAAAACAAAGGCTCAATTTTACTACATCAAACATGCTCTTGTATGTTTTTAATTTAAATTTATGTGTAAAAGACTAAAAGTAGTGGAAAATTTTCATTAAAGGTCCTCAAGGTGATAGGTTGGTTTCAATTTCGTCCATCATTTTTTGGGCTAGCTCCTATTCTTTTTTCATATCAGAGTATGTTTGATTGATATGAAAAATATCACTTAGAAAAGAAAATATTTTTCATTTTTTTGGGGAAAATAAAAACCACCTCTACCAAAGAAAAATATTTTCTTTAAAAACAAGGAAAATTAGGCATATTTTCAAAAGTTGGAAAATGTTTTCCATGAAAAAAATAGCAATCAAACACTTCAAGTAAGAATTTGGATGGAAAACTGATATTTTCCATGGAAAATAAATGTAATCAAACACACCCTTAGTTTCTTCTTTGTTCCGTGTTTCCTTTTTAAAATTCATAGGTCAATACGAAGTTGCACATGCAAGGCGAATCTAAATTAAACCCCTATTTGGTTCCCATTCTTTTTTTATTAAAATAAAAAATATGACCATTATCCATCACATCAAATCACAAAATTTGAATTTCTATCTCTTGTGTGGGGCCCGTAACGACTATATTTTTCATTCTCATTCTTCCAAAAATGAGAAACAAACGGGAGCTAAATATCAATTTTTTCTACTTTTAAATATAAACAATACAGAAAAAATGGAGATCATAGACGAATTTTCTCAAAGAGCTTTTAAAAAATGATAATAAAAAATTATTAAACGGAACAAATAATTGTCGACAGACTGTCAGTAATTACAAAAGGTGTTAGTCGATAATTTTAACAAAAACAGATATTTGCCAATAATTCAAACAAAATTATACTATCGTTGATTATCACAATTCACCTCCATTGACGAATACTAACATCAATGTCATTGACAAACAAATATTGTACTTTGAGCTGCTGATCACTAACAAAGAAACTTTTGGCGTCACCAATGACTCTTTCTTTGATTTTTTAATATTTTCATTGGCTCATACGCAAGAGTAGATCTTTACGAAAAGTAAAGGAGAAGAACAAACGAATTATTTCGAAAGCTGAAAGAGAAAAAAAAAAAAAATTTAAATGCCAAATCACCAAGTGCACAATTTATCTTAACGTGGTCGAAAAAGTTAATGAAGCAAGGCAAAATTCGATTAGAATTATTTAAAGGTCAAGAAGTGATTGTGTAAGAGACAGAAAGTGGGCAAAATAATAGATTATCTCATGAATTAGATTATTAAAAAAAACCCTAATCATACCATAATCCATTTTCGTTTCTTTAAAATTTTGCCAACCAAAAAAGTTTGAAACGAAAGCTGGCTTGCAATGAAAGCAATTAGCTTTACTTTTTGCTTTTTTATTCACAAGAATATTATTATACTAGGTATTATTATTATGTCTTTTTTATATATATTTTTTGAGGTCATAAGAATGGATGTATTAAGCTGTCTATTTATACTTTCGTCCTATAATGTCCATAAGAAACCAACATACCATGTGGAATTTAAAAGTGACATGGAATATTTGTCTTTTAAGATAGACATCGTAAATACAAGATATGTTAGAACACGTAGCGTTTTCGGTCAATTTAGTTATGTCAGAAAATCAATCGAGTTAAACCATAGTCAATGGATCCTCAAGAGATAGAATTAAGCACATAAATAACAGTTAACAAGGGCCACTTACAACTAAAAAGATGGGATAATACGTCTATATCCAACTCGAAAGGTGAGCAAATGGAACAAAAGAACAACATGCAAACATGATCGAGCACTCTCAATCTTGATCTCGTGCACCGACACTTAGGAAAATCCTCATCAAACTCAAAAAATGTAGACTAGATGATGGATACTAAACCTATTAAATCATTAACCGATTGACTTGGGTACATCTCTTTTCAATATCTTAGTCGAGTTCAAAATTATGTAATACTCTTTCTTTTTTTCCTTTTTTCTATTGGAAACTCAAAAAAGAAGTTGGGATATTCGCTATTTACTAATTACAACGGGAGTAACATTTGAGTTGGCATCGAGATGGTGTTCAAATTCAAGCACAATGGGTCTCTTTCAGATATAATCCTACTGCGGAGCTTGTTAATTTGTATGGGCCAGGTCGCACCACCAATAACAGATGGGGAATTTGTTTAAAAAGACTAGTCAACAATAATATTTGGTAAAATAGCCTACAATCAATAATGTTTGGTAAAATAACCTTTGGTCTATTTTATCATGTATTAAAAGTTTTAAATACCCTTTAGTTGAAATGTCTAATATATCCAATTTCAAACCAAAATTTACCGAATTCTCCTAACTTGAATTCCTACTTCCATTCTCACTTTTCACACACAACTTAAAACCAACAGCAAAATGGCATGCTACCTTTTTAAACGACTGAGTGCCGCTTTAACAATTTTTGGGTTTGTTTCACTTTATGTTCTTTGGTATCCACATCCAAATTAATGAAAAACATGTTTTAATTATATCTGGAGTGAAATTCGGAGTTTGTGATGGAAAATGACATGCCGTCATTATAAACAATTTGATGACATTTTAACTAATTTTGTGTTTGTTTCACTTAAATTCTCTTGTGTCCACATGAAATTGAAATTAGAAAAGTTTTCACTATATTTAGAGTGAAATCGAGACCCGCTACCAAAATGGCAAGTTGCCGTTTTAAATGATTGGGTGTCGTTTAAACTAACTTCTTATCCATTTCACATTATTTTCACTCATATCTACATGAAAATGAATGAAAGAAAATTTTCATTACATTTGAACAACAATGTCGATACAAAGTTCACACAATAATGACCAACATTATTGTAAAGTGAGTAAACTATACTAGATTTAACTACAAAAGAAGGTAACTAATCCAAATTTCATTATATTACAATTATGAGATAAGATATTGAATAAATTAGCTCATTTATCTTATATAAATTTTCAAAGATTTTCCAAGTGATGATCGACTAATTTTGGAGTGAAATCGAGACTTCGTAACCTAAAATGACATGCTGTTATTTTAAACGATTGAATATTGTTTCAACTATTTTATGTTTGTTTTACTTTATGTTTACTCCTATTCATATGAAGATGGTGGAAATCAATATTTCACTAGGTTTGAATATCAAGGATGATATAAAAAGTGCACCTAATAGTGATCAATAATATTCTTTCATGAGTAAACTACATTAGATTTCACTACAAAGGAAAGTAAATAACCTAAATTCAATTATATATCAATTAAGAGATAAAGATACCTAACAAATTAACTTGTTTAACTTATATAAGTTTTCTAAAATATTTCAAGATAGGATCGATTAATTTTGGAGTGAAATTGAGACTCCATAATCCAAAACGACATGTAGTCATTTTTAAACGGCTAGTTACCATTTCAACTGTTTTTGTGTTCGTTTCACTTTTTGTTCACTTGTGTTTATATGAAAATGAATGAATGCAAGTTTTCGTTGCATTTCGATACCAAGATCGATAAAAAAAAAGTTCACCCGACAATGATCAACAATATTGTTCCACAAGTAAATGTTACTAGACTTTACTACGAACAAAGGAAAGTATCATAAATTTCATTATATTTCAATTTTAGATAAGATACTCAATATATTAATATGTTTAACTTCTTTAAGTCTTCTAAGATGTTCAAAAAGATAATTAAATAGTTTTAAAGTAAAATCAAGATCCTGTGCCCAAAATGACATCCTCACATTTTAAATGACTAGATGTCATTTCAAGTAGTTTTGTATTCATTTTACTTTATATTTACTTACATTTATATAAAAACTAATCGAATTCAAGTTTTTACAATATTTGAATACCAAGTTCAATACACAAGTTTGATACAAAGTGTAGTAATTGGTTCAAATAATTAACCAAAAATTGGAAAATGAAAAGGTGTGTAAAAGTGGAAAATGAAAAGTGTGACTACGTGTCAATTTCGATCAAATATTCAGACTTGATCCGATGGTCAAATTACAAAGTAAATAGATCAACTTATTCTACTCGTCGAGTAGATCGTCGTGGTATATTTGAAATCTCGAAACCAATTCCGGATAAATGAGAAATTGCAGGCTAAAGTTGGAAGAATGAAGTGTTGCAACTTTTCAAAATGATGCAGATTTTGGCCAAGTGTTGCAACTTTTCGAAATGATGCATATTTTGGCCCACACTACTTCATTTGCACCCTTTTTACATCTATGAATAGGACCCTATGGATATGGTTTTGGGTACACCAATTGCAGTGAGCATTCATTCCCCTCTTGCAATTCTTTCCTTTCTAATTCCATAGCATTTTCATGCATTTCATTTGTAGAGGGAAAATTCTGTCAAAAGTTCGTCGGTTTCTTGTGATTTGAAGTGCTGCTACCACAAGTTGTAAATCCATTGTATCTTGGGAGATAAGTGTCATTCACCGTGAGCACCGTAGCAGGACAATTTGTCTTAAGGAAAGAGATAACGTCTCGTCTTAGATTATTCTCTATTTCTACTCCTTCTTATCTTTGTTTTGCTTAATCGTTATACTGAAACTCTGTCCAAATTTTCATTCATATAAATTG